AGAAAAATTATAAATAACATAAACTCCAAGGCACTGCTTTCCAGTTTTTAGAGCCAGAGAAATGCCTTACTTCTCCCCAGAGGCATTGTTTGGCTCTCTCTCATGGCAGTAAAGTGCAAGACAGATATTCATTTCCAGAAATTGGCACCTTTGCAGAAGCTTTGGACCAGAGCTTTTTTTGTGAAAAGCTGAGAGCAGTGCTAGGACCTGGAATACACTATCAAAGATCACTGACAGTTCTTTTTATTGTGGATATCTATTCTGGAGTCCTACTGGGCTGGGCCTTCCTTCACTACCTAACCCCTAGTTGGGCAAGAAAGTGAAACCCTGGGGAGGGCAGCATGAAATGACAGTTTCTGGAGAAAGCAATGGTCTAATATTTTAGAAACACCTTTCCTACACAGCCGTTCTTGGGGGCTTTGGTGATCCATTAGGCTAGAAAGCTTTACCCAGTCACCATTTTTTCCACCAGAATAAGCCAGTGATGAGAGTGTCTGTTTCCTTCAAAAATGTGCCTCCCATCCCCACTCCGCCCGGCAAATGAGCAGAAGAAATCTAATTTGAACATGTAAAACTACTGCTTAAAGTTTGATTCATTAGTTACCCCACCTCCCCCAACCTATGGCTGGACAATCAATAGACATGTGTGATTCATTTTGTTACGAATCGAAATGCGTACGAATTTTCCTGAAATTCGTAAATTCGGAAGCATCCGAAATCCGAATTGCAGTTTCCGAATTATATCCAAAATACAAAATTCCATTTTTCGGATCCGAATTTCTTTGAAACAGGAACTAATATTACCCCTGTAAATGAGGTTGAACAACATGACAAGATTTTTTTTTTTAATCCGAAATACGGATCCGCTGCTGCTGAGGGTTGCATTACAATACAGGCAGGAAATACGAAATTCCGTTGACGGAATTTCGTTCTGTTACGAACATTCGTTATATTGAAGTTAAAAAGCAAAGTACATTTGTTAATATACTGGAGTTGATGGTAGTTTTTTTTTTATATCCGAAATACGGATCCGGAATCAGTTAACGGAATTCGTATTTCGTTTGGTTGACCAATCAGAGGTTTTCTCTTCTGCTGCTGAGAGTTGCATTACAATACAGGCAGGAAATACGAAATTCCGTTGACGTATTTTTGTTCCGTTACAAACATTCGTTACATTGAAGTTAAAAAGCAAAGTACATTTATATTGGAGTTGATGGTAAGACCGAAATACGAAATTCGGATACGGATTCCGTTAACGGAATTCGTATTTGTTTTGGTTGACCAATCAGAGGTTCTCTTCTGCTGCTGAGAATTGCATTACAATATAGTATACAGGCAGGAAATACGAAATTCCGTTGACGTATTTTTGTTCCGTTACAAACATTCGTTACATTGAAGTTAAAAAGCAAAGTACATTTATATTGGAGTTGATGGTAAGACCGAAATACGAAATTCGGATACGGAATACGGTAACGGAATTCATATTTCGGATACAAAAACAACTACCACATCGACTCCAATATTAACAAAGGTATTTTTGCTTTTTAACTTCATCATAACGAATGTTGGTACAGTTACGAAAATGTGCCGAAACTAACGAAAATTCGTATTTCGTACGAATCCGAATTGAGTTTCGGACACGATTTACGAAATACGAAATAACGGATATTCCGAAACGGAACACATTTTTTTACGGCGCACAAGTCTAACAATCAAGGAGCAGCATCATATTGATAATTTAATCAGTCATCCTGGTTGTCTCCCTTCCTTTAACATATATGTCCATCCAAAACTTTTTTTGTTGTTTTGGAAAGAGTGGGGAAGGGTTAGAACCCATCAGGTTTTTACAGCTATCTGAGACTTCATTAGAGAGGTAACTCCCTCTCCTCTTTCCCAGGCAAAAAAAGAGTCACCAGACAGGAAGTGAGGAATAATATCCAACAGCAAGACAGAAGGGAAGTGTGGAATACTTGTCAGCTTTATATTTCTGTCTGTATACCTGTTGCAGATTTTCCTCACATTTTTTCCTATCAGGTGAAACCATTGTCACCCTTAGGGTAAGAGAAAATCTCTCTAATGGCACCCTGGATAGTAGTATAATCCCAACCGGGGCTCAATTCCTACCCCATTCCATACAAAACTTGGCATATACATGTTCAGTTTTAGGCTAACCAGTACTTTGTAAATCAGTAGAGCCCTGACTAACTCAATGTTGGCCATTGCTTCGCTGGTCTCAGTCCTGCTCTGCAATGTATTATAGCAGGATGATACAAATTCTAGGTGATTCAGATACAAATGCTAGGTGTGTGTAAAATATATTTATTCATTTTAAAATAATATTAGATTAAGGGGTCTGCACTCAAGAGTCACACAAATTTTACACAAGATTAACACATGGGTGAAATGGGTGAATCTTGGTAGACTGTTTGTTCTTGGGTGAAAACTGTATAAATAAGACCTCTAAATGGTGTTTTTAAAATACGTGCCTAAAGTTTAACTTTCAAATTCAACATTTTTATTAAGTTTTGTACAAATAATAAGACAACAACGGAGCAGAATAAAGTGCTTAAAAAATATAAGAGGATCATCAAACAAGGAAAGAGAATCCAAAGAAAGAATAATAGAGCCAGTGGTATTACACAATGGCAGTAAGAGGCATGGTCAAAAAAGGGGATGAAATGCATTATATTAGTGTATACGAGTAACACAGGATCATTGGCTAAATGTGAAAGAAATCATGGAGGGATAGAGTTTAACTTTCAAGGAACATGCAAAGACTAGGGGTTTTATTTATCAATGCCCCCCCCCCCAAGACTTACAAAACTTTCACCCAAAATTTTACTAGTGTAATGTTAATAAATGAGGTTTAACCTCTTGCCTCTGAACCTCTTGCAGCATCTGCGGGTTGCCGTCTCCAGACGGCAATTTTTTTCTGCTCGCGCGCGCCCCCTAGCGGGCACGCACGGGCAGAAAAGACCCGATCAATGCACACACCCGTTACCGGGTGTTTCACATATAGGCGATCAGCGGGTCCATAGCCCGCCGATCGCCTATATGTGCTCGTTCGCGGCACTCCCCCCCCCCCCCAGGTCGGCGCTTCCGGTTTTTTTTTTTCCCCCCGACCCCTCACCTTGATTCCCGGGATCTTTGTGATTGTTTTCTTAGTTGATGCTCAGGTTTCATACAGCCCCAGAACAAGAGCAGATGAAAACCGGTGCAAAAAGCATGCAGTTGAAAAAGTAGTGCAAGCTCAGGTCAAAACAGGGGCACACGTTAAAAGACTTGCACATGAAAAAAAATGATCTAAGAGGCCAAAACTGCCGCAATGGCTTTGATAAATTCCCCCCAGTCTTTTTACAATATCAGAAGTTGAAATTTGGAGCAGGGGAGCAGGGTCCAAACTGCATAGAGGTTTGTTGATGCAGTGTGTGGCTTTTCCTTTATTTCTGAATGGGTTAAAACTGAAAAATATGAAAATTTTAGAAACAGGTTTTAACTTGTTTTCTTCCATATGAAATAAGTTTATTGAAACAATAAACATAACAAGTAAACATAGAAGAGCTTTGTACAACAAGTGAAATCAGGTAAATACACAATGGAATATCCCAAAGGAGTAGTAAACTGTAACCTCAGAGTATCATAAGATGACTCCAAGAACAACTCGTGAACACTGATCAATTGTGCTGAAGATGTCCCGCCACTGCAGCACAATTTGACAAACTCCACAGATATACATGGGGATAAGTGACCGGGATTTTAACTTGTTTTCTTATGTTTGCTTACATGGCTGAACAAAGGGAAACATTCCACTTTTGTATGACATAAAGACTCCCTCACATTGTGCACCTTCATAGTTTGTTTACTCTGGTGTATTTTGCTTACTAGGGCTGTTATATAATCTAACCTTTATGGTAAGCTTTATTAGATACTTACATACATTTGTAGTGCATGCACATAAAAAAGGGTCTGAATTTCCCTCTATAATATATTTCCATTCTAGAATCAGATGCAGCCAGCCAATGAGCTTCAGAAATTGCTACAGCGAGTTAATATCCTTACATGAACCTCAGCTGACAGTCAGATTTCCATACTAAGTGCAGCCAAACAATCTGCCATATATTTCTCATATTTTCAAATCTCAGTGCAATTTATTTGGGCTCTGCTCAGCTTGCTCTGTTCCAGCAGCTGGTTTAAGTACGTGAGGCAGTTGTGTCATTTTTGGAAAGCAGCTACAAGGCATGTCCGACTTTTCAGGGGGCTAACCCTTTCTCTGCTGACTGTTGACTTTGTTCATCTTGTAGGAGACTTCGTATTAAAGTTTGGGTCTTACTAATAACATAAGCTCAGCATGTCCTCACGATACCTTCTTTAAAGAAGTCCTACGCATGGCTTTACCTAAAATGCAAAGATGAAATGACCCCTATTGTATATTTAGAAAAATGAGAACACTTTATGTTCTATGATATGGCTTGTTTTGTCTCTATACCACAAAATGTCAGATATTGGATGACAGATTTTAATCTTGGCTGCTGTAGAACCCGTCTCCAGTGAACCCCGCTCCTCCTCAGCATTTTTAGTTGAACAAATCTTAAAACAAATAAAAACACTCTTCTACTATACAATTGGGAGTTTGGCACTGTGATTTGGCATGAACTGTGCTAATGTGGTGGTGGGGGGTAAGAACAGCTGGTTTATGAAGTGCAGTTCTTGTCAACAGCAATCGTTCAAAGTTCCTAAGGTCCCTTTCACACTGGCGTTCCTATAGTATCGACCTGTCTGGTTTTCAGGCCTTGTCGTTTTTAAGGTTTTGGGTTTGCCTGTGTATGAATTTCAAAGCTTGTAATTATAAAACAATATTCTCTTTTATAACCAGATTTTTTTTCTTTCATATCTATCATAATACATGTGTTTTTCATTCTGCCCAATTGAAATGTTTGCTTTATTATCTTTTTGAAAATGTATCCAAATATTAATTTTGGCTTTTTTTTTGTTGATTCCAGGGGAGATGCATGAATTTTACAAGAGAAAAGAAGCCAATGCCACCAAGATATCCATTAAACAATGCTCCTCTTTTGACACCACCATCCAGCCCAATCTATACTCCACCCCAGAGCCCAATCTATACTCCTCCCCAGAGCCCAATATATACTCCTCCCCAGAGCCCAATATATACCCCTCCTTCTCCAGCAAGTTCACCTCCCGAACCAATTAACTATCCTCCTCCAACTCCATCCCCAACCAACTCTCTTCCTCCACCACCTTTAGCCTCACCTCCCATGAGAGCTCCACCCCCGAATAGACCACCGCCACGTCCTTCAGTTTAGAATTCTCTGTACAGTCGTTCATCTCCAGTTCTGCTGGCGATGCATTTTAAGAAGTTTTTCTTTCTTGGATGGATGTGATGTTCATCAATTAGACAGAACAGCTATGGACCAAAACCACTTTTCTTACCACTTTTACTAGAACTAAGTGATGTTACCTTGTGGATTTATTTACCTTTGGATGATTCTGCAAGTTACTGGATACCATCTCAACACTTTTGGTCACATCTGAAACCAATTCTTATGACTGCTTGACCAACTAAGCTGGATAACATTATGTAGAGAATATTAATGATATATTCTCCCACCAATGCCAAGAGAAGCATATTGGGTTATTTTAAATCAGTTATTGACTACAAGCAAAAAAAACACCAGTGATGGAAAATATCATCCACTAATCAGTTAGTTTTATAATAAATTTTGCTTCCTTTTTTTATAATATGATATTACAAAGTTCTTTTACCAATTATGACAAGGAACAAGGTCAAGAGAGCAACAACAGAGGAGCAAATTTATTTTTTTTATTAATACATTTCTATGGTTTGGGCAGCAAAAAAAATTCTTAGAAGAATCTTTTTGACCATGTGGCCTTATCTTCTCTGAAAAGAATAAAAGGACAACTTCTTTTGAAGATGACTTTAGGTTGATGGATGATCACTGTCTGATGAAATATTCGTTTTCCTTGTCTACGCAGGTTTTATTCATTGGATGCTTACCATTTTGTTTTGCACATCTAGACAAACGTTTTGTAATTGAAAGAACACCTTTTGACGCTTATGGCTGATAAGGAAACTACAGAATATTATTTTCAAACTATTTACATCTGAATCTCATGGATTTATAAAAGAAACCAAAAATCATGACTTCCCTCAGGGTTGTAAAATGGCTTGCCTCTGTAAGTGTCCGAAATGTTGACAACAATGAAGATTTAAAGCCTGGCAAACAAATAGGAGTTGTGCCCTCTGTATGTGCCTTCAGAGAGACAGCTGATGATGAAGAACAAATAAAATGATGACATATATCATCTCCACAGGAGGGGATAACATTCTATGTAAGACTTTTGAATAGTAGAAGGCTGGACCTTTGCAATAAAAAAAAAAAAAACTGTCATGGCAGATTGTATAACAGATAAAATATGAGCTTCGCAATGCGTTGCTGGACCCTCTGCCAAAGAGGAATCTTGGGATAGTCTATAGCATGTATACACTTGCATTGTCTTTTTAAGTAGCTATTATGTAGATGAAATTACTTATTGTAGTATAATATTTGGGGCACTGGGGCATTGCTTAAAGGGAGGATAATTCATGTTTATCATCTGATTCTTTTGTGGTTAACTTTGTTGCCACTATTGCACTTTCGCTGTTATCGTTTAGTAGCAGTACAGGCATTGCTATATAAGGAGATTGTCCAAGTGCTTTTGAAGGATAGGGGAGGCTGTAATGACCTGCCGCATCTTATTAATTGGCTTTCATAGAGAACCAGTGGTTGTGTAACAGTTGTACCCACCTAGGTTAGCAGCTGCTTTGGGATGAATTGGTTGGTAGGAAAGGTTGGTTGTCACAGACCATAAGGTTATCTATGCCCAAGGTGCTTCCCTAGCATCCTGTTTATTTTTAAAAGGCTGCTAAGTGAGCCAGGACTAGACTTTACATAACACAAATTTTTGTCATGCAATATTAATTTGAATTCTGGGAAAACAGATAAATACGCAGTTGAAATGACCATATGTTAAATGTTAAAGGGTTTGTATTATTCATCAACTTGTCTTGTAATTTAGGTGCCCCTGACAAATAGCGCAAATTTAAACCCAGATAACCAGAAGTTAACAAATATGGCCCGGTTTAGAAACCACCCCAGCCTGTGACTGGAGAAGGAAAGAACAGCGGCAAGATGATGGGGTCATCCCTATGCTTTCTTCTTCTGTAAGGATGTTTAGGAGGGGAGAATGACAGCGCTGTGCAAAGAAATAGAGCTCTGACTGGCACAGAATTATGTGCCAGTGCTTAGGGAATTATAGGAGGTTGAAAAAAGACATGTTCAGGTACTTATGGTAGCTGTATGTAAAAATATGTTTATGACAGTTCATAAATCTAACTCTGGATTAAATTGTTTTGATTCAACCTTTAATGAGCTTAAGATGGAATGGCATGGGATAGGAATCTTTTCAGGATAGTTAGTGGAAAATGTAGTATTTTGTGGAAAAACCAAATTGTTCGAACAAACTAGCACAGTAAAAACACAATGAGGGGAGCAGCGGTGCACGGCAACCAATCAGCTTCTCTTGTCAGTCTGTTCAGTTAAGATTTGAAAATGAAAGAGAGAAGCTGATTGGTTGCTGTGCACAGCTGCTCCAGTTTTTGTCTGCTCCAATTTTGATCAATTCCCCTCAGTGTTTATACAAGGGGTTACAGTTGGATTTATAGAGAGAAAGAGTGTTGCTCATTACCAGCAATACTGATGTGGGTTATAATTACAGCCTATGGGGTTTAAACAGCCTCAACAGGAAACCCTGGGACACAGCCATTGCCCATAAAAGAAGTGCAGCATGTTGGCACATTTTAGCCATTTTACCATTGTTCTCTGTAGATACAACGAAGATGATACTGCTATTCGATGACTTGCTATGCATGTTGGGTGTACAAATAATGTTCTAAGGGTATGACCAATTGGAAAAAGGCCTCTTGCATATAACCAGTTTTATTGTATAACACAGAAAGAACCTTGTATGTGAGCGGACCATTGTACAGTGTGTGCAATAAAGAGTGTGAGTACAAAATGCAAAATGTGGAAGGGAAAATTGAATGTAAAACAGATGGAAACACAGTGACATGGTGACAGTATACTGTAGGAAATTCTTAGCAATCCTGTTTTCGTTCCATAACCTATAAAATGTAATTTCTTGTTTAGCGGGACATGGTCTATAGGTTTATAATCTTATTCTTGCATAGCATTTGTGATTTCTCCTGCTAAGATGTCTGGTACTTTTGAAGAAAAAATATTTGTAATATACACATTTACGGCTACTATAAAGGTATTATTTGTTGCCCTTGTTCCTTGGGCCAGAAATCCTAAAACACATTTTTTAAGGGGAACTTTACCTAGATATCAAAAAGTACTGTACAAGTACTGTAACTGCTGGCATTTGAAAAACACATAACAGCCCATAAAGTCCAGCGCTGTCTTGCTCACACCCATAGTTTTGGCAGCTCTTTTCTTTCTCTTCTCCCATGCTGCCATCTTGGATTTGAAACCAGCTGTCACTTCCTGATCACTCAGCCAGCTCCCCTGGACTGCAGGGAATCTGTTCTCAGGCCTCCTGAGATGTGTGATATGTACACTTGTGCTCATAAGTTTACATACCCTGGCAGAATTTATGATTTCCTGGCCATTTTTCAGAGAATATGAATGATAACATGAAAACCTTTCTGTCACTCATGTGTAGTGTTTGGCTGAAGCTATTTATTATCAATCAACTGTGTTTACTCTTTTTCAATCATAATGACAACAGAAACTACCCAAATGACCCTGATCAAAAGTTTACATACCCCAGTTCTTAATACGGTGGGTTGCCCCCTTTAGCATCAATGACAGCTTGAAGTCTTTTGTGGTATGTGTGGATGAGGCTCTTTATCTTCTCAGATGGTAAAGCTGCCCATTCCTCCAGGTCCTGTAAATTCTTGGGCTGTCTTGCATGAACTGCACGTTTGAGATCTCCCCAGAGTGGCTCAATGACATTGAGGTCAGGAGACTGAGATGGTCACTCCAGAACCTTCACTTTATTCTGCTGTAGCCAATGACAGGTCAACTTGGCCTTGTGTTTAGGATCATTGTCATGTTGGAATGTCCAAGTACGTCCCATGCGCAGCTTCCGGGCTGATGCATGCAAATTGTCCTCCAGTATCTTTTGATAACATACTACATTCATCGTGCCATTAATTCTGACCAACTTTCCTGTGCCTTTGTAGCTCACACATCCCCAAAACATCAGCGATCCACCTCCGTGTGTCACAGTAGGAATGGTGTACTTTTATTCATAGGCCTTGTTGACTCCTCTCCAAATGTAGCGTTTATGGTTGTGGCCGAAAAGCTCAATTTTGGTCTCATCACTCCAAATGACTTTGTTCCAGAAGGTTTGAGGCTTGTCTCTGTGCTGTTTGGCGTATTGTAAGCAGGATACTTTGTGGCATTTGTGTAGTAATGGCTTTCTTCTGGCGACTCGACCACGCAGCCCATCTTTCTTCAAGTGCCTCCTTATTGTGCATCTTGCAACAGCCATACCACATGTTTTCAGAGTGTCCTGTATTTCACCTGAAGTTATTTGTGGGTTTTTCTTTGCATCCCGAACAATTTTCCTGGCAGTTGTGACTGACAGTTTAGTTGGTCTACCTGACCATGGTTTGGTTTCAACAGAACCCCTCATGTTCCACTTCTTGATTAGAGTTTGAACACTGCTGATTGGCATTCTCAATCCCTTGGATATGTTTTTGTATCCCTTTCCTGTTCTATACAGTTCAACTACCTTTTCCTGTAGGTCCTTTGACAATTATTTTGCTTTCCCCATGACTCAGAATCCAGACACGTCAGTGCAGCACTGGATGAAGGATGGAAGTGTCTGTCAGGAGGCCAGAAACTCATTGGCCTTTTATACACACACACTGATTACATGCAAACAGATCACAGGTGAGGATGGTTCCCTTTAATAGCCATTCACACCCCTTTGTGTCAACCTGTGTGCATGTTATCAGGCCAAAACCAGGGTATGTCAACTTTTGATCAGGGTCATTTGGGTAGTTTCTGTTGTCATTATGATTGGAAAAGAGTAAACACAGTTGATTGATAATAAATGGCTTCAGCCAAACACTACCCATGAGTGACAGAAAGGTTTTCGTGTTATCATTCATATTCTCTGAAAAATGGCCAGGAAATCATAAATTCTGCCAGGGTATGTAAACTTATGAGCACAACTGTATGCCAAAAGGCTGACGGTGGGGGAGGGGCAGGGCCATCCCTATAATAAGGCAGTTGCATCAGGCGGCATTGGGTCACGTGGGGGGCAGGAATCATAAGCACCTGCCCCCCCAGCCTCAGGCAGTGAGACATGAAGGGACGCCCCTGGGGAGGGGGGTGTGAGGGTTGCATGATCCTTACCTAAACAAGGAAAGAGGAATTGAAATGAGCACCACCAAAAAAGTATTCACTTCCCAAAAAAAGAAAAAAAAAACACATCCAGTTGTGTAACAGGCTGGGGGTAGGATGAGAATAATGCTAAGTTTGATTTTTGGGTGAAGGACCCCTTTAAGTAATGGAAGGTATA